ACTGACTTGTTCATGGAAGACTTTTCCCAGACATATTTATTATAAAATACTGTGAAGTGGTTTGTCTGGATTTTGAAGAAGAATAGCCTGGAAGCTAAGTCATAACCAAGTCTGTAATAAAAAAAAAAATTTAAAAAAAAAGATGAAAAATGTGCAAATAGACCATATTAAAACTTGCTTATTACATTTTAGTATTCTCAAAATGTTGTTTACTGCATATTTTATCTTTCCTGATGGTAGATCCACATTTCATTTTTCCTATCTGTCAAAACTATTTCACATACAGTATTTGTAGCTTAACCACTTTCTCAGTGGCAGCAAGTGTATTTCTCTGTTCCTTCATCACCTGCTCCCATTCAGGTATAAGTTTTAGCTGTGGCAATATAAAGGTAAATGTGCTTGAATATTGTTTCACAAGATCTATGGAGGCTTTAGATTTCATTAAAAGTTTATTTGTTCTACTGAATATATGTACTATTTCAGCACTGTGAGAATAAAATTCAAATAACCAAAAATCAGTATAAGGTCTGCAGTGTTTGGCTCATTAAGATTGGATTTGAAATGAGCTACTCAAAATGACTATTTACCTTATTTTTAACAGTCAAAGAATGCTTAATTTTAAAAGTCTATGGCTTTTATTGAATCAAGTAAAGAGTAGGATGTCTATAAACAAAAAAGATACTTATTCTTGAGTTGAACAACAAATCAAAAGTTCTTGTTCAGGTTCTAGCAGTGCAGGAAATAGAAGCAAATATATTTTATGTTTTATGCCATATACAGCAGAAGAAGGCCATTTTTTCCTATTCAAGTGAATCTGCCTATTCCTGATTGAAACAGGCACATATACCTAAAATGTGCAAGAGTGGAAAATATTTAATATTTAATAATTCTATGATCAAACTGGTTTCATACATCCTGTAAATGAAATCAATTTATCACTCATTACATTTTTATCTGATATCCAGCATTGAGGGTTTATTTCAATACTAGCTGATGATGAGATGATGTCTACCATTCTACTGCAGATTGGTAGACATAATTTGGTTCAACCTTTAATGGCTGACAGGGATCAGCAGTCTGATTCTTGAGAGGTTTTGATACTGTACAAAGAAGCAAAGTTCCACCAAACTCTCCTCAAGTGAGGAGGAAACTTTACCACTCCTATGTGATCATCAACTGTCAGAACAAATCATCAACATGGGATAGATTAAGATTTGGAACAGAAAAATCAAACATGAGAACATCTCTTTTTTTCCAAGATTTTAGTGCTGGTTATCCTTTGCAAACTTATCTCCCATTAAAGCTTTGTATGTGGAAGTGTCTTTCCTGGAGTAAGTGTGCTGGAAGTGTTCCCTACTCCAGAGGACAATATGAGCAGGAAAAGGAGTGGAAATGGGGCATGCCCTGCCAGCCCACAGCAAGATTAAGTGTTCCCTGGATGAAGCATTCTTCTTGAAGACCTGATTTTTTTCTAAGTGTCACATTTTTTGACGAGAAAAGGTGAAATCTTACCTTCAGTCAGTCACTTGTGAAATTCTCCAGCTCTGACTTGTCCAACATTGGCTCCTTCAACCTTGCAGTAATATCACCTGAAACAAGAGCTCCACAGAAATCATAAAGGCTTTAGAATACAGTGCTATGCTCCTCCACAAATATCATTAAAGCCAAAGGTGTTTGTCTCATCTCAGTAAATCCTCAAGAGCAGATCTTGGGCTCAAATATGGAAATGATCTAGAAAAAAGCTTTTGGTTTGGTCTCTTCTCCACCACTACTTCTTCCCTGAGGGAGTTTTCGTTGCACAGTTCTCTTTGCTCTTTTTCACTAGTAGGCAAGTGTATTCAAAATCCAGTCCAGGCAAGATGTGATATTTGAACTGACTGAATATTTGCAAACGGACTGCAGAAGAAGCAGAAGAATTGCCCCACAAGATGTGGCAAAATCACATCTAAAACCACAGTTACAGCACAGAAAACACTGAGGAGTCCCTAATAAAGGGTGCTTTGTGTTTACAGGAAGCTGAGGACAAAACCTTAGCTCCTGAGATGATGCACGCTATTGCTGAGCATATACACAGAAAGGGGGCATCAGGCAGAGCAAGGGATTACAAGCTCTGCAACACAGAGTTTGAACTGAACACAGGTGTCTGAAATAAATTGCTCTGGAGGACCCACATCCATCTCTCTAGAGATAAAATTTGATGGAGAGATTGTGCTCCCACCAAAGAAGGCAGATGAGGCAAAACATCAACGTACTTGTATAATTTTAAGAAGGACCTGACAATTATTAATAGTTAGTCTTTAGATAATACTTTACATTTACAAATCTCAGTACAAGCTGTATTTAATTAATGATAAGTCCTTAAATACACTGGAGTTGAACTAATGCAGCTTAGAATGACTGATGCATGAAGACAGAAGAATCGTTAACCTTAATGAATCATGTTTGGGACAGTGGATGGAATAAGTATTAGAAGTAAACATGGACAGTGTGTGACAGGTTGGCAAGATAAAAAATTAGTCACCTAACACAAGCTGTTTTGTAGTAGTCCAGCTTCTGACTGTTTCCCTGGTAGATTGATAGCCATGGGGTGAGTTGAGGTTGCAATGTGCAGTGAAAAGAAGATACACAGTGCTTACTCATGATGCCACAGGCACTGGTTTCCTCTGCCCACTACCAGTTCTGCCAGGGCACTTACTGATTCCTGAGGGTTTTAGCAGATGCAGAATCAAGTCTATGAGTAACCCTTACATCACTGTTACTTTCAGGCTTTTGGAATGGGACATAATGGAGTACTATTAATTAATGTGCATAATTTTAACATCAGTAATGTCAATAAGCAGAATCTAAATGAAAGATAAAAAGAATGAAGACCATCACCTATTTGAGCAGATAACCACGATGATTTTGTGGTATGAAATTACTTGAGTTGAAACTGTTGCCTCCCCAGTCAGGCTGAGAGTTATTCTCCTCTGGGTAGAACAGCACTTCAGAAGCTTTGACCATCCATTAGTTACAGGCACTGCATCCTCATAAAAACCCTGCAATTCACTGGCTCTGTGCCCTGTATTGCTTTTCGGAAATACCAGACACTATCTCAATCTAATATATTTACAATTGCATTTTGAATATATCTAGAATGACTGGCAGACAGATCAATTTTTTATATAAAAGCGACTTTTCTATATTTTAAAAAAAAAATCTGTCTAAGCAGTCTGCATTTAAATTTTTCTATAATATATTGCTGTTAAACTTTCTGTGTCTGCTTCAGTATTTATAAGTTACACCATTATTCCATGACCAGATAAGCACCCTTCATTTTCCATTAAATTTTCTCATCCTTAGCCCCTTGAATTGAGGGAAATGGCAGGCATATCTGATTCAGAGGTTGCTAGCAGAGACTGCAGCTGAGTATCAACTCACATGGGCACTGATTACCCACCCTTGCACCCATGGGTGCCTGAAGGGCTCCTCCCAGCCTTGCTGCTTAAGCTTCCTTATCTCTGCTGAGGAAAAAGCTGGGTTTGACTGACATCTGTTACCAACTCCAGAATTCTTGCAACATCATGAATCTCCTCAGGTTGCAAAAAAAGAAACTTTTCCCAACTGCACAGTTGTTATTTAACTGTACAAAAAGTCATGGCCTATGCCAGGACAGCAATGTCCAGGTATAATCACACAGTGTTGTGGTTAGACATTCCTGTGTTTCAAACTTACATGCTATTACTAGTAATAGCATAAAGCATCTTGATATTATTCTCTTTTCTTTAAGTGATCTGCCACATTAAACAAATGTTTATTCTTTAAGTCATGCAAGATACTGAGGCTTTGCTCCTTTGTGCTCACACAGATTAACTAACCCCTGCAGAAGCAAACAAGAGAGGACACAGCTCTTGTTATAAGTATAGGTAGCCTGGTAGCTATGGTAGCAAGACTTTGCTAGAGTGAGCCCTGTTTTGGAAATAACAATGAATAGGTTACATGAAGTAAAATAAATACAGATTTGTTTACTAGTAAGCTGCTGTGATAAATAGAAATGAAAAGGATTAGGCATTCCTTTGGGAAACATGTGTCTTCTTCATTTTAATTACACTGACAGTAGATTATTAATGCTGTGTCAGCTTTTGTTTACAGTTTTCATGGAAAAAAAAGAGAATTGCTACAACAGAATGTGAATATAGACATTTATTTTTTGCTCAGTACATGTTTCAGTGATTATTTAAATCTACAAATGAAGATATCCTCATCATTATAAGATAAAGCAGAAGAACTGAACTAAAATTAAAACCGAAAACTGTCAAAGCTTCACATTTGGTGCTTGGGGAATGCATAATACATGTAAGATTTCATTTGTGGAATCAGAAAGTCATCTTACTCAGTTCACCTTCAATCTCATTATCCCAGGTGAAGTTTCAGCTTAAGTTTTTTGAGGGAACATGAAGAGCTCTAGGTTCTTGAGAAGCCACACTTCTTGTTCTTTTGCTCAGCTATGAAAATCATCATAATTTCTTTATATTATAATAATATAGAAAAGTCTGTATTGGTTCCCTATAAGACATTTGTGTTCCATAGCCCCAGGGAAACACACATGACGCCCTGGCCTAACACAGAAGGAAAGGCCTGTACTAAGGTCGTGCTGTAACATGTACACTCCTGCCAAAGTGAGAGGAAACTGCCTGGATCTTACAAAGACAACAACAGCAATGTTTTTGTTTAAGAGACTGAAATACCAAGGGGAAGGCTAAAGAAATGGGTTGTGTTTTAAATAAAAAAGAAACTTAATGCTTGATCAGATCTCTGTTCTAGCATACGTACAAAACCCTGGTCTTGCTTAATTTTGTGCATAGCTGTATCAGCAGTTCCATTAGGACCCTAAGAGAATAGTGGAAATAGTCGGTGTGCACGTGTTTTACACGATAAAAACCCCCTTTTCAGTTGTTTTTCTGTTTAGTTGATTAATTCTTATCAAAGTTCCTCAACCTTTATTTTCTCTTTCAGGAGTTTGTTGCTTAGCTCAGTTGGTTAGAGCATGATGCTAATAATGCCAGTGTTGTGGATTTGATCCCCATATGGGCCATTCACTCCAGAACTGGATTTGATGATCCTTGTGGTTCTATTCCAACTCAGAATAAATATTCTGTAATTCTGTTATCCTGCCCCAGTCCAGATGGGAATACCAGGGATCTCAGTGGCAGGTTCTTCACTCACTAAATTGGGATCTTCAAACTGAAAATGCAGTAATTTTATAGCAGCCTGTCCTGCCTCAAATATTAATCATGCATTGTTTGTGGGGGTTCGGACTTGGTGCTTTGTCATGGAACAAACTCTAAAAATATAAGTACCAGTAATAAAACCACTCTGGCTGGCTGGGACGTGCTGCTGAGGTTTACTGTCGGAGGTACAGGGAGAAGCTGCTGGGTCCAAAATCCATCACCCTGAGTTGTCCCTGGCATGTTTCCCCCGATGCTCCTGGCATCACAGTGAGTCAGCCACCACTCCTCCATTGCCAAACCTACGTCAGCAGCCTGGGGTTAGTCAGAGAGGGACCAAGGGAGACGTCTGTCTCTCCCCACACAGCTATCATTAAAAAGGCTGTGGCCCTGCATACAGAGTGCTGCTGCAGTGGGGAGGTGGCCAGGCCCTCAGGAGGCTCCAGGAGATGATGGTCCACAGCTTCACAGGGCCTGCTTGTTCTTAATTGCCACCGTCCTGTGTCCTGCCTGTGTCACAGGGTGTTCTGGTGACAGCACGGGGTCAGAGATTTGGGTGTGCCATCGGGGGTGAAGAAGGTGTCATTCTTTGTCCAGGAATGGGCTGGTGTCTCAGGATCTGGGTTCCTGTGAAACCTTTGTGTTCTGCTGTCTGGCATGATAGGGTGTACCTCCACCCCAGCAGGGCAGACAACATTGTGCCCACCACCTTAAATGACTCACAGGCTGGCACCTCTGCTACCCAGGAGATTCAGGATGATGCTTCAGAGACTAGGGGGATGCACACCCAAATCTCTGGAAATCCAATGGCACTAAGTTTTTTAAAGAAGTGGCCATTCTCTAGAAACCCCCTTATTATACTGGGGAGTACTCAAATTCCTTGTAGAAAGGCTGTAAAAAGCAATAGAGGAGGGCGTGTTTGCACACATATAATGCAAAACAGATGTTCAAAACCCATTATCTGATCTCATGCAAACATTCATAATGTTCCCCAAGAAAAAGGAAACCTTCTCTTCTTTGGCAATTAAATGCATGTTTGGCCACATTCCTGTACATAGATAGCATCTATTTTTTTTGTTACATAAACAACTGAGTTAAAGAAATAAATGAAATTATATAGGAAATTATTTCTCACTTTTTCGCATATTACTTGTCACATGCAGCAAGGAAACTTCCTAAAGTCCTGTGTATGTTGCTGGTGTTGTATAATGTTTAGAGTTTTGAGAGCCTTGTTATTTTAAGCATATACAGACATAAAATAGCAATGTAGTGATATTGAATATTTAACATTGCTGTAGATGGTTTTATTTATAGAAATCCAACTGCCTAATTTCTATATTATTCATATTTGGGTGGATGATCTGTCATAGATTAAAAAAAAATTACCTGATCATCCATCAAACAGATGGGTTCCGTTCTTCTAGGTCTGGACTGACATTTATTACTTATGGGAAATACAGCATGGATTGTCAACAAAAGTTTTCTTGCCTTAAGTTGCCACATGTATCCATAGCACATGGAAAAAGGAAAGAAAGGGATAATTAAAGACCAATTGCCAAAAAGTGAAAAAATATTTATCTATCTAAAACCTCAGAAAAATCCAATCATTTCAAAGTATAAATCTTGACAAGTCAGATCCCTTCAATGCTTATACAACATCATCAATGACAATATCCTGAGTGGAGTCATAAAGGGGAGAGCCCACGGAAGAATACTTGTATTTTCTTTAGACACAGAACAATGTGGTCATCAGGCTATAATCAGCCTGACAGTAATCATTCCAGCTACATGAGAGGACTTTTCACAGTGCAATATGAAAAAGGCTGCCTTTTGACACTCAGTATTTAGCCTTGCCGTTGTCAGGGTGACTGGAAAAGAGCTGTGCACAGAGAGGGATAAAAGAGAAGAAAAATGATAAAACTTTTTGAAGAAAAAAAAAAATCAGCTTTACAGAAAGAAAATACCAGTTTCAAATCATAGCAATTATGCAAAAAAAAAATTACTAGAACTAAAATTTAGGGCAAAAGCTGAAGTCTGACATGACAAAATGTTTACAGCACAATAATTTTCTTTATTCCAGTCAACATTAAATGAGAGAGAAAAGAAAATTACTTGAATGAAGGAAATGAGGGAAAATAACATGTAATGACATATTTGAGTGACTTATCAGCTGGGCCACTCCTCATATCTTGTAGCTCCTAGTCTGTAGGATTTCACTCACTTCAGCGACCTGCATGGGCAGGCCCTGTGCAGCAAGTGTCACAGGTATCCAGCTGTGAATCTGTGCTGCTGCCTCACTGCTGGGTGTCCTACCCCATTGCTGACCTAGTGCAAGATGACCCACTTGAAAAGCTGCAATGGCCCTACACCTTCCCAGAAAGGCATTTCCTTGGCTTCAGTTACTGACTTAAGACCAAAGACATTGTGTTTAAGGCCCAGTGCTGTGGCACATGGATTTGAATGAGTCATGTATGTGAGTAGGACCTTGTTTTATCCCTCAGCAGCGGTGAGGGGGAAGAGAAACAGCCTCACATTTTCCCATTCATATTTTAAAAACCTAAGACACGATAGAATAGACCTCCTAGAATTAGGTAATAAATAAAAGGATAGAACTAATCTATACATAAAAAAACCCAAACAAAAACGCTTTCAAAGTGAAATGCCAAAGCTTATCTGTGCTAACACTAAAATCACCAAAGAAATTTAAAAATATTCCGCTTCCCTGCCTCACTTCTATGTACCAGACTGCTGATTTGTCTCTATCACGTCCCATGTGTTTTTCAAAGAACTCTGTTCCGGGACAGACCAGTCTGTGGAGCTGCTGCTTTTAAAATACAGCTTTTAATCTGTGATAAAAAACAGTTTGTGGGAAACCCACAAAGCAAGCCATGCAGCAGTGGAGAAGCCATGGAGAACGGTCCCCTCTGTCCCAGTCCATCTCAAGGCCACAGTTCCTGAATAAAGTCTTCAAGGGCAGGTTTTTCTCCCTACCTCTGCTGAAGAGGACAAGCCAAGCTCTTTTTTAATGGCCATGAATTATGGAGTCACTACTGCCAAAGTGCATCCCTCAGGATGGTCCTTCTCTGACTGAAGGAGCATGGCAAATAGAAGTGTTTCTCAAGTGCTGCATAAAGGCCCACAAAACAAAGAACAACTCATTTCACGCACAGCACTTGGTAAGTAGCCCATTAAATAATAAAAGAACAAGAAAAAATTATGTTTACCCATAAACTAGGTACTATCCGCTTTGTGTGCCAGCCACAGTTTCCTGGGAATAAAACTGTGGTCAAGCAATGAAAGATTTTGTTATGTGCACGGGGGGATGACAGCCCCTCTCTTTCTACCATTGTAGTTCTTTTCTTGGCAAGCATCATGGCCCTTTAGCACTGCCTGCTGTGTACAGTCACCTTATATATTGCTATTTTCTGACTCAGCACAGGACATGCAGACAATGCAGCTCACTGAAAGAATAAATAATGTAAGAAGGGTTTTTTTCACCAAACTGGAAGAGAAATGGAAGCAAGCACAGAGAAACAGTGAAAATTCACAGGGAACCTACATGTGACCATGGTCTTGCCAGGTGGCTGTTGGTGCTGTCCCCAGATAACCTGTGCTTAGTGGGGGATGAAGCCATGTCCAGTTCCTTGGGAACTGAAATGATGTAAGAATGCTAAGGAGAAGAGGAAAAGAGAGTCAAGTTCGGTCAAAACAAACTCAGGTTACTTAAAGCACATGATTGGTTTTCATTTTTTGGCTGAAATAACTCAGTGAAAATGTGTTATGTGATGACAGAAAGAGGGAAATTGCCATCTGCTGGTATCCAATACAGCCAACAATATTTTCCTATCCAAGCACCAAAACTGCTTTTGTGCCATACAATCTTGAGCAGCCGGCAATCATAGCAGAGCAACAAGCTGCTTCAGTGCTTTGACACATGGTTAAATGAAAACAAAAAGGGAAAAAAAAAACAGTGAGAAGATATTGGAGAGTGGTTAGAAATTGGCAAATTGTTAAGCACTAATCTGTATCTAGACCCCAAATCCTTCATAGCTCTGGATCGAGTGGATCTGTGGTTTGGTTCGCTCCTTTCAGAAATGCAAAACTCATCTTCCTCCTTGTGCTGCAGGCATCCAGCTAATACACACTGGAATCACCTGCAACCCAACAGACTTAGCACGTCTTTGTGTTTATGTGTGCTTATGCTCCCAAGTGACTGGTATGAGGAACTGCAGCAATTTGCTGCTTAGCCCTGAAGAGCACCTCAGCTGCAGGGCAGGAGAACTGCAGTGTGCTCCTCACAGGCAGCTGTGACATTCATTGGTACCGTGATGCGAGTCACTGTGAATGATCAGGAGGCCACAGATACCTCTGCAGTGTCACCTCTGTGTCTCCATTGGTGCTGGTTGTGAATGAAATACAGGAAGAAGGTAGATGGAGATCCTGGAGAAGCAGGCTTTGCAAAGCCAATGGATAAGGAAAAGCCATGTGGTTCTTACTGGCACAGACAATGAACCAGTAGATGACACCTAGTATGTATTTCCTATTTCAGAAACTTTTTTATTTTCAGGGTAATCTTTTTAAGACAAGCTTGAATGGACTTGCACTTTTTGATAAATGTTATAAATAGCAGGTCTGGTTTTGTTTTCTTTTTTAAACAATGCCTGTGGTTTTGCTAGCAAGTCTCTGAAGTTTTCTATTTGCTTCTGCTGCTGACATTTCATCTCATCAGATCAGGAACCGGTGTTTGTGTCTGTGTACTGGTATAACCAAAGTACATGTAAGCTTCAGGTGTGAATTTCCAGAGCTGCTTCTTTCTCCAATTTTAGCTTTCTCATAATTTTTGTTTTCCTTTTATCCTTCTCTCAAT